CCCCCCCCCCCCGCTCCCCATACACACACACATACACACATTATCACCTCACCATTAGCAAATAAATACAGAAAAATAATGGTGTTTTGAATAGTCTAGCTCAAACAACTAGCTATTAGAATCTAAATCGATGCCTTTACCCAAACAGAGCCTTGCCTTTTCCACCTTTATAATTTTTTTTTCCGTTCTTTCTAACCCTTTTTGTTCTGGTTTGCACCTGTAAATTTTGTATACTGCTGAATATACCATAAAATATTAACAATTTTTTATTCACTTATATTCCCATCTTTTCCTTTATTGTAATTTAAATAATGTATAGTTTTTTGCTGAAAAAAAAAAAAAAGAATCATTTTAAAGATTTAAACTTTTTTCAGCTTTCTTTTCTCTTTTCTTTTGCAATTGTTGATACAATGAAAAAAGAAAAGTTAATTTTGCTTCTGTTACGTTTAATCTACAAAACAGAATGTATAATAAAGTGACAAAACCTAAAGTGAATAGATTGAAAAAAAAAAAAAGCTAAATAACAGAAAGCTAAAATAAATTTAACCACACTAAGACCAGCAATGTTTGAGCAAGAAAGAAAATTTTGCATGCAAAAATTACTGCTATTATTACTGCTATGTTGAATTTAACGAGTATAAACATCTGCACTGACAAAATTCAGTTGTTCAAGCTTCAGTTCTCACCATATTCAACTGTTGATAGGTGTGAAAAAACCCAAACTTTGGTATTTCTCGTTAGTGCAATACGTCAGCAACAATATATCATCAGCTTACTGTACAGATATGAAAGCTAAATGACTAAATTTTTATTCCTCCAGTAGATGCTCGCCCTCTGTCAGCAGCAATAAAAAGTCTTTCAACAAATTAAAATCTAACAATAATCATCGAAAAAAGAAAAAGTAATAAATAGGAAATTTGAAACATCAAAACAACAGAAAGCCAAATTAATAATTCTCATTTGCCTTGCAATAAATCTTCTCATCCAAATACAGCTGCATTCAAAAATGTTCTTCTGAATAAACATTTCTTCAGTATCTTTCATTTACGTTCTGTCTAAATTTATTTATTTATTTATTTATTTATTTTTTTTTGCTCCTTATCGTATGAAAAAAAGAATAACAATAAATTTAGAATGTCGAAAAGATACAATAACTTCTTAAAGATAACTGATGAATAACCAAATGTTGACAACTGACAAATCAAAGATAAAATACATAAATCAGCAAACGGCAACGACCAAAACTACACCTATTCTTAGCAACAACTTTTTCTCTTCTGTTTAAAAGCTATAACAAAAAAACATTTTTTAGTAGCAGTCATTCAGCTGAATAAACGCTATTCACAATAATTTTAAAAGCATTTAAAAAATCAGACTTTAGGAATAATCAGTTTTTTTGAACATTTAGTTGATGCAGCTTCCTTTTAGATTGCCTTGTGGTGAACAACAAAAATATGAATTTAATGCTAAATCTCTAAACTCCTCTAAAATTTTTAACCATCATTTACAAGCAACTTTTTTAATCCAAACAATGTCTACACAATCGTACTGTCACTAATAGGCGAAAAAAAAAAATGAACTGCATAGCTGTAAAAACTATATAACCTTATCAGCCCTTAAAATCGCAAAAAATAACCGTCTCAGGCTCTGGATTACTAGATTGAATTCTACGCTGTGAAACAACATACTCCAGCTTCACAAAAAATCTTTTCCGATTGCTATAGCCAAAAATATGAAGTTCATCTAAAAAACCCAAATGTTTACTGTTCAATCACTCAGAATCACAAAGGAGCATACGCAAAAACCGTATCTGGCGTTAATTATTAAAACCAAAATCTTGCAGATCCGGCGCATGCTCTAATAAACAATTAATAAAAACACAGCAAACAGCTCCAAAAAGTTTTGCTCAGACCCTTAAGATATCGCCTGCATTCAGCGGAATCAACGCCACCCTCACCAACAATGACTTCCATCGCCCTAAACAACTTCCTTCGCAGATTCGAAAAAAAAAAAACCAAAGCTACATTTCTAAAACGTCTGCACACAGAACTTTCAAAGTCTTGTTAGCAACCAATACCAGAACTAAATTGTTAAAGAAAACAAACTGCCAAGAGCTTCCGAAAGAGTCGCAACACTTTGCTGAAAAAGCCAGTTGAAATTTTATTCAATAATTTCCAAAAAATTGACTAGATTGGTTGTACAAATAAAAATATCGCCAAAGATTCAATCAAAGAGACTGGAAGAAGACTACCAGGTTAAATTTCCATATCGTTTGGATCGAGATCATAGACTTACAACTTCCATTTAAAGCGTATGAATCAGGTTAATACATAGTAGAAAAACTTCAAAAAAAAGTTATCGAAACAAAAGCTGGATGTAATTGGTAATCTTATAAAACGTAAATTGCAACAAGTTGGAAACGAAGAAGTAAAACCTAAATAATTAAATAAAATGTTGTACAAAAAGAAGTTAATGCACAAGGTATTTAACGACTCTAAGGTTCAGGAAATCACAGAGTAGTACAATAAAAATCAAGAGTAAATGGGTAGCAGACAAACCGAAAATGTACTAAGCAAAGTTTGATTAAAAAATCCAAGGATTTCACAATTAAAGTTACTACAAAATCACAGCTGAAAAGCCCTTTTACATCGTAACACCTATTTGACATGAAAATCTGAAACGAATAAACTACACATCAAATGAATAAAAAAGCGACTAACTTTCAAGAGGTAACAAAGATTGCAAGCTAGAAATGCAAATGATTATGACTCCCATAATTAGAAATCACTTATTTACAGTAAAGCAACCAGACCCAGATCCAAAACCAAAACAACTAAAAAACGACGCTCCCTTGAAAGGAACAAATAATGAAGAAAACTGAAAGTGCAATAATCCTTTGAGACGTTGCAGTATGACATTTTCCGCACAACTAATTAAAATTATAATTCAAAACTTAAAAAAGCTATATATCAAAGTTACTACAAAATGGCTTAGGATGCGACAACTAACACCGGTTATACGAAATACCTCAACTACTTCAGATTTTCTCAAACGGCAGTTCCTTCTCTAAAGCTGAATTAGACGACGTTGAATCAAGATATTCTTCAAACTGCATTATTGCACGAGTGTCTTCAGGCTGCCTTCCAACATCATGCCAGGAAAGTAAAGACCGGGCACAAAGCATTTGCTGGTTTTGTAAACGTCTTGAAAGAGCTAAACGGTTTGTTCTGAAAATTACACAATGAATAATGGTAGTAGAGGTTTATACTCCTGCGTTGATGAAGGAGTACAGCTATAAGAAATAAGTGTAAGTTAACTCCAAAAGTCTCACCGGCGCAAGCTAGCAACAGCAGCAAAAAAGCTCGAGACGCCAGACGCAGCGACTAAGAAAAGACCAGAACCGATCGATACTATTACACCCGTTTTCACGTTAGATACATATTGACATTCAGCTAACAATAGAGTAACACAAGCCAAAAGAGAAAGTGCCACTAAAAGTCAAAAGGTAAGATGGAATCTGCAGTTAATAAAAATAGCTGTCTTTTGTTTTTTTAAATACCATAAGAGAAGAAAAAACTTACTGCTGCAAACTTCAAGCAGAGTATTCTTTCTTAACCATTGAAAGAAACCAAATGGAGGCAAAAAAATGTTTAATGCAGACGCGAAAGAAGAAGCAAATACAATTACGAAGCACAAAGCGATCAGAATGTAGAAGTAATTTGCCAATGAAGGGGTCATACAATCAATCCATGCTGTAAAGAAAGATTAATATTATCCTCCAAAAATTTACTTGTGATTCTCGAATCTTAACAAGCATAACGCTTTTTTTTTCGAATATTTAAAAAAGTAAGTCAGCAGAAAAATACAACTTTCGCCATTCGTACGATAGACGTCATGTCGCTCTCCTTCAGAATCATAAATTGCATTGAAATGTGCAGCACGCCAAAAGTGTCTTGTTCCGATGCTGAAAAGTATAAAGAACTTTATTAGAGACACAGTACTCTGAGCATACCTTGTCAAAAAAAAGTGGAATACAGGTCTGCTAAATGAGATAGAAACTGCAAGATTATTTGAATTATGCAAATTTAACTATAATATTTAAACCGCAGAGGAGTATAAGATCTCCAAAAAATCGGCCATGGTAATTATTACGAGTTATTTTATTTGCATAATCCATTAAGCGACTGAAAGACCGTTTGTCTCGCAACCGAGACCAGGTTATAAAGCACTAAACTTCTGTTCTAAAGCAGTCAGTAAAGTTTTACACTACGAAGATCGGCAGACCGAATAATGTAAAAATACCCAAGGAATTTTCAAAGTAACTA